ACACTTATAAAATGGAAATGAAAGATAAATACGCGAGATTAAAAAAGAATGAAACAAAAAATACGACAGATACTTATCAAATATTTTCAATTTCATTTTTGGCAAGATATCGCATAACATTATAATAACATGGTTACATAAAGGTCGTGTATATTTCGTTCAGTTGCGCATCATGCAGATATTTTTATGTAATCAAATTCTATATAAAATATAGAGGAAATAAATTAAATTCTTTTAAAAGATCAATTTTAAAAAGTAATCAAATAAATACGTTCTCTTTATAATTACATCGTTAATTTATGTACTAATGCTCTTTGCAAAGAACATGCGGATATTTGAATTATTTCTCGTTTTTTTAAAACTTGATAAAAACTTGGAAAAACGAATCAGTGAAAATATATATGTTTAAAAATACTACAGTGGTAACAGCTCTGCGCTTAAAACAATGGTTGTAGCAACAGTCAACAAAATCGATTTTATTGGCTTTTAATGTGTGCAATAGTTTTTCTCTCCAATCGCCATCCGTTCAGAATAAATCTAAACCACTGGCTTCTACCATTTTGTTTCGATTTGGCCGTTTGCCAATTATTCCATCATAATACACACGATGTGACGTACCGATGAAATACGCATCCCTTGTTTCTACGGCTACAAAGAGCGTACCATCGCTCGCTTAATGAAGAGAAACGAACCGATCGACATCATCGATCGACGCGTGCAACTCTATTTCCGGATATCCTGGGATGATTCACGATAATCCCATGAGTCCTAGAACAGAATATTCGCGTGAACGGAAGGGATGAGGGTGATCTCTTTTCTGTACCTGTTTTCGAGGCTCGGCCTTTAGAGACTTCAATGACATTCAATGCGTATTAATTTTGTGGTTTGCGATGAGAACAGATGAAAAGGAACTTGCGAGTAACAAATGTTACTCGCAATGTTGGGAATGAAATTAATCTATTGGAGAATATGCCATAACTATTTGCATAACCGTAGACCGCGAAGACTTAAATATAGATTGATTGCTCGTGAGACACGTAATTATATTAGTAGGATCGAGAATTATAGATAGAATACAGAATTATTAATAGAATTAAAGATATTTCAGAAAGCTATTTCTACACGAAAACAATGAAAAGTTGTATAAATTGAATTGATGTGTTAAAAATCGAATTAAAGAATCTTTGCGTACTTCACTTCGTCTACTCTGTTAGATATCAAAGAAGCAATGATAATTAATTCATAAATTAAATAACATTTTGTTATTTTTAACTTGCATCTGTGTCAATATATAAATTAATCCATTTCTATGGTTAGTTTCAAACTAACATCATCCGTATTAATGTATATCTCTCTCTCTCTACACTTAGTAAATAATAAACTAAATCTGAATCAATTAAATACAGTTTCTTGAGTTAAATTATTACTATTGTTTTTGTAGTCAAATTAACACATTGGATAGGATAGTGGCGACCCATAGAAATGATTATAAATAACTGAAATTAAATATAATATGACATTATGAATGTAACAGTGTAAAGTGACGTCTACAATGAGAGATTTTTAAAGCATAAAACTTAAACTTTAAGCCTTAAGCTGTAAGAAATTGACTAATTGATCACAGTCGAATGTGAAGAGAATAATTAACCGATCTGGGTTGGATTAATGATGTCATACACTCTGCTATTAGTTGATCTCAATAGTAGAGGATGCAGTCGAAAATGCTGTATGATCAATTTCTTATGGCTTAAAGTTTAAATTTCACGTCTTAAAATATTATTGTAGAATATTATTGCTTAAGATCAATTTATTCTATATCTTTTTCTAATTTTAAAAATTAGAGAGAGAAAAAATAAACAGTAAATTAAATCAAGATTAAAGTTAATTTTGGCGAAATCGGTCCTTAAGGTCTAAAACTTAAAATTTTACGTCTTAAAATGTCATTGTAGACACCGCTTTAGGCGTGGAACGTCAAGCAAAAATGACTGGAGAGCATTTTTGACAGTGAAAACCGCGTGCACAGATGGTTTTCTGGAATCGATCCAAGTAGTGGGTGCCGTCACTGCGACTAAACGTCAAAGGGATCCACGACTGCGATACAAAGTCACGGTTCGACCCCCGCGCAGAGGTGCTCAATCACGAACAAACAAGTATCGCGATAAGAGATGTGAACGACACGTGGAGTAGATGAGATGTGGAGTAAAAAAAAGTCAATATCTCAAAATGAATGTTATAATCTATAATCAATGATGGAAAATGGACTTTATTAATAAATAAATAAAATTAGAACATAAAAAGCTAGAATAAATTTATACATCCACAAAAAACAGATAAATAAAGGACGATAATGATATATATATAAAATAAAAATGATATTTGATGTCTTTTTTTAAGTTTCCTTTTACGTTTCGTAAACTTTCAAGATTTACACGTCTTTCATCATCGATTTGAATTTCTAAACGATGTAAATGCAGTAATCGTGACATCATTATGTAGGAAAAGAAGGAATGATGTCTGTCATATTTCCACTCTTTTTTTTTTTCGCTCTTTTTTCTCGTTTTAAAATATGAAAAAGAAGGAATGCGATACATCCAAAATATGTCTTTAATGTCGTCGTTAGTGGCGACCATTAATCCAGTGCTATGGCACGACTAAATATGAAAAGATACTATCGATTATATAATAATCTACTGAATTCATTAATATTTCATTAATGTGCCTATAATAAGCATCCGTCATGCCGAAAACCTTGTCATTTTGTAAACGAGTATATGTAATATAGTAATTTTATAAATGGAAACTAAAGCAAATTATATACATTTATTTATGATACTTTATCATGTATTTGAAAGCGCGTACCCTACTTTTCGCTTATTATTTTTTAATATTACATTCTCTTTAATCAGCTTGAATTTTCCTTCGAGAAAATATCGAAGAACTGATAATTTTTCAGTTACGAGGAATTGAAAAAGAAAGCTTTCTCGTAAAGCTTTTTCATAAAAGTTGAAAGGAAAAGAAAATTTTCTCGTGAAAAAACTTAAGAGAGTTAAATGGAAATACTACATTCGGACAGTTTTATAGAATTCCAATGCAGAGCTTAATTATATGGCGCTAAAAGATTCGAAAGACGCGATAAATAATAAGTTCTCTCTCGAGATTTTCGCTAAGGAGAGACTCCAAATGATTGAGCAATCTAAAATTAAGAAATAATACGCGAGAAGTGGGACAGTTTATATAAAGTTGTTAACAGTCTGTTGAAATCTAGAATCGCACGGTGAAATCGCGCATGTTGCGACAACCATTGAAATCTTCTCATTGTCCCTATTTCGGCAAATTCTGGCAAGTGTCATTGGTAGGGTAAAAAATCGGACTATATACAGGATAAAAAAAATGATAAGCAATCTTTCATTTGATGCCGATATGTACTCATGAATGATAACGCGCAGAGGAGAGAGGAGAGAGAGAGAGAGAGAGAGAGAGAGAGAGAGAGAGAGAGAGAGAAAGAAAGAGAACCTGCACAGGGGTAGCAAAGAAAAGTCGCGCTCGCGCGCGGATATCCGCGGCCGCGAAGCGGAACGGAGCGGAGCGGTGCGGGCGGCGTGGCATCGAGTGGTGGAGTGTTTCTCACCTGAAAGTCACAGTAGATAATTTCGTTGTCGTCGAACAGTCGAATAGTGGCGCGATGCACCACCGTCACGTCGCTCTTACTGCCGAATTTCAACATTTCTGCCCTCAAGTCGCCACCCAAATTATCCCTCCGGTCGTCATCGTCCCTTCTTCCACAGCACCACACACTGCCCGTTTATTAATCGCGGCACGCTCCACCGTCGTCGTCGTCGTCGACGCCGGTCGTCGTCGCCGCCGTCGCCGCTGACGCGCGACCGTACTCGGTATTAATCGGCGAGCTGGCACGGCACGGCGCGACGGCACGGTTGCACGGTTGCGGTGAACGACGACACATCACCGTAGCGGAAGAACGCGAAGCTGTCTGTCAACCAATTCGTCTCACTGCTGCGCCGCCGCCGCCGCGACCAACGCGCCGTTGCCACATCTCTCGATCTCTGCCCCGCCGCGCCGCTGTCGGCTGTCGGCTGTCGGTTCACGTCGGTTGTCCGCCGCTCAACGCGCGACGTTGCCGTTATTCAACTGTCATGGACTCCGCCCGCGCCGGATTTCGATTTTCGAATATACGTACGGCCGCGCGTGAGCCATCAGCGAGCGATACTTGTTTCGAATCCATCAGATTGCTGTACATACACCGTACAATTTGTCAAATTTATTTTTTGAATGATTACAACGATGTTTAGTATTACCTATTTTCAAAACAGTAGAGATTCATTCCATCATTTACGTCTAATTGTATCTACGTAAAATTTGAACACAATTTTCTGATTGGTTTGAAAGTTATTGAAAGTTATGTTGAGAATATTTGAGAATATTTAGTGTAATATTTAAAAGAATATTGTGGTTCCAAATGTGTAAAATCAATTTTTTTGAACAAATAGAGGCCGCTATTTGTCAGGCAATAACGATAACTTCGGAGAGCTTAATTATCGACCAACTTCACGATGGTTCGTACATTTAGGCCAGTATTCATAGCGTTCTTATTTCAAGATCGTCGTAAGTAAGATTTTAAAATGCTAATATTGCTTTGTAATTGATTCATAAAATTTCAAGACGTACAGTCTTAAATGTGTATAAAAATCGAGTCTGAATACCGGCCTTGGAACGCTCCATTATCAAGCATCCCCAAAATGGTATTCTATCGTATACATGTAAGAATCGACTACATGAATACCGGCTGAAGTAGATATTCGACCGCTGGTACATACAGGTTTTCAAACTATCGTTCGTCGGTCCGTCACGTTCGATTCATCTCAGTTGAAATTCTCATCTCAGTTGATTTAGCTACCGCGAAGCGTCGCGCGCGCAGGACGAGAATACTTGTGAGTGGTGAAGTTGCGCGCGGGTGGGGGCAAGTCGAGGGCGTCGGACTGGTCGGACAAAGGTTGGTCGCGTTGAGCGGCCGGCCGGCAGCGCATTTGCGACTCAAACATGGCAGCGGCTACCAGCGTTGTCGTGCTCGACAGGGGCAACAACACCACCTGCACCATCAATTTACACGGTGTGTGTATGTGTGCGTGTGCGTGTGCGCGTGTATGTGTGCGTGCGTACATGGTGTGTGTGTGGATGCGTGCGTGCGTATAAGTATATATGAGTGCGCTGCGTGGAAGTGTCGCGCGCGAAATCGCAAAGAAACACGACCGAGAATCGCAACGAGATGACTGAAAGCTCCGAAACGTTTTCGCGCGTCGCGAGTTTACGCGTCAGTCGCACTGCCGTTGCTGCGTCCTGACGCGCGATCGACAAAGCCCTACATACGTACGTACGTACGTAAGTACGTATGTACGTGCCTGCGTGCGTGTTTTGTGTGAGTGTACATCTCCGTTCTCGCGGTCTACTCCTTGGCGCGATTTAGGCACGTCGACGATTGACGGTCGACGGTCGATGGTCGACGGTCGACGGCCGACGGCGATGTGTTATCATCGTCCGGGTGCCCCCCTCACGTGTCGTCGTCAGCGTGCACCCTCCGCGCTTCTACGCGATCGCTCCGATCGATATTCTGATTTTGATTTTCCATTTTGCAGGAGCCACGGTAGTTTCCTGGCGGGTGAATAACCAGGAACAGCTGTTCGTTAGGTAAGTACACGCATGAGATTTCATAACTGCATGATAGCACATAGCACATAGCATTTGACAGACAAATCGTAGTTCCCGCGATTCCAGTTAGCGCGTATTGCTCTTTTAATTTAATTTTCGCGTTTCCTGTATTTATTCGATCAGGGATATATTTTTTCAAATTATAAAGTATCTTAAAGAAGAAAAATGACATGTTAAAATCGGACATATAGTATATCTTTCAACAAGCGATAAAAGTAACACAGTGTAACACAATGGATCATTACATCCTTGTTGTCTGCCAATGTTAAACAAAGATGACATGATTTGTTGTCGCACTGTGTCGCTTGTTAGAAGATTAGATAGACGTATAGATTGGTTAAAATCTTGCGTAATTGTTAACAGACGTTTAAAAGAAAACGACTAAACTTAATTAATATTAAATTTAATATTAAATCTTTTAACATACGCATTAGAACCGCGAATCTAAATTAACTTAATCGCGATTCAAGGTAAATCTAGCTTTTTACGAGGAAATGTCATCATAAAAGTAAAATTACATGTAATTCATTATTTATGAAAAGTCACAAAAATCTAAAGCTCCACGTGCAAACGCATATTAACTCAAAAAGAAGAATTATCAGATAATAAATAAAAAATGGTAACAGCCGCGGTTTTAGTGTTATTATTAAACCTTAATTTTAATTGATATATTTAATATTTACGCGATCAAGTTTTGCTCCTTATAATCAGATTTAATGTAAACACAATGGACCTTAAAGTTTAATCCGTTTACATACACGCGCGACTTATAATCAGATTTAGATTAAATCTGATTATAAGAAGCAACATTTGGGTCGCGTGAATATTAAATGTATCAATTATAATTCACGTAAATGGATTAAACTTTAAGGTCTATTGTGTTTAAAGTCTAATATATTTATAGAAAAATATTTCGAAAAAATGCTGATTTCTCGTGAATCATCCTGTACAGGTCATAAGACGCGATATAAGAATCGTTGAAATAATCGTTGACGCATGTTGTAAGGTTGCGCGCGAGGTTACGCATCTTAGATGAGATAGAATGATTTAGCTTGATCATACATTACGACGCAAAATTATAGCGTCGAAAGAGCATTTACATGAGCAATCTATTGCAGAAAATCAAACGGATAAAATAATTAACATCATAGAAAGTTACGAAGCGATGTAAATTGATGAAAATTTAATGAATTTTCTAACGTTCTTAATTTCAAATATTATTTAAAGCACTCTTGAAAAAGTAAAGACTGTGTGTATTCAACATTAATGAGAAAGTAAAGACTGTGTGCATTCAATGTTTTAAGATAAATATTTAAATTTAAAACTCTTAAATCGAGATACACACTTGGACGAAGTTTGAATTCGAAAATTATTAAGTCGAAGAATTTTCTAGTATTAATGTAAATTATCTAATAGATGTATCGAGAAATTTTTACGACAATTAAAAAGACTTTACGACGATAAAAAAGATTTTAATTGTGAGTTTTGAATTCAGAAACAAAATTAGAACTTTTTTTAAATTTTAGAATTTTAGAAATAAAAGTATTTTAAATACGGACCATAAAATACAATTAAATGGTACAACAAAAATTTTTTAACACCTCGATTCACGTCATCGATCTGTTCGAGATTGCAACACTGTTAAATTCATAATGTCAAATTATACTCAATTTGAATTATTTTTAATCATTTCTATAGGCCGCTCTATTGCTTAATATGTCATTAAAAACTATGGCGTAGTTAATTAAATTTAATCAGTTTAACTCAAATTTTATCTATTATTTACTAAATATGCGTACGTTAATATGAATATTGTAGACTTTGAAATAACCACAGAAATTTGATTTATATTTTGATATACATGTACAAGTTAAAAACAATAAAATATTATTTAATTGAAGGAATTAGATTGCTCCTTTGAGCATATATCACACAGTAAAGACCTGTATTATGCTAGTCACAGATTACTCTTTGAGATTGACACTTTCTAGATGAGAACAAAGTCTGCTCGCGTGTTCCACATGCGCACAGATTGCCCAACAAATTGCTTTCAGTCGGATGAAAAAAAAACCGATTGCAAGTTGTCGAGTACAAGAATGGAACGATTAAAGTATCATCATCCACGAGAACATACATGCGCAATTTAAACTTCGATTGCTGTAACAATTAATAATATAATCGCTATAGCAGGCATAAGCAAGCAAATGAACGAATTATAGTTTCGATGGATGCAGATCAATGCCAAAATCTGTTTCGTTCACGATGACTCACAAAAAGAGATTTCATCGCCGTACGTGACTGATTCAAGGCTCTCGCCGCGAAATGTACCGAAACGATACGCAGTTCCAATCAGACTGAGAGCAAATCGAGCTTACTCGATCATATTTTCCAGTCATCTTTTAATTTTTAATCCAATTTAATTGTATATGCAAGATTCTATTAAACGCGCATGTATTTGCATAGTTCGTTTACACTAAAATATTAATATCGATTTATTAATTCAGCTTTTTCTCGAGTGTTGTTTTATGACCAGTCACTGCGAGTGATGATCGTTTTTTTACTATGAACAGGATGAACATCAGACTGTAACTCTCTGTATTACGAACGCGACGGCAATGCATTAAATACCTTGGTAAGGCACAAACAGCATGTTCTTCCACTCGTTTTAGTATACGAACATTGTAACAAGTTCTCTTTGATAGATACAAGTAATCTTCCTTTTCGGATTACATTGTTCATTTTGTGCATCAAACTTCTGAAAATCCACTTACCATTATATCGAGAGAAATCTATACGTATTTATACGTAAGCAGTTTAATAAGTCAGTGACTTTTTTAAAAGAAGAGTATGTTGAAAAATAAATCAAATTGTGGTTCAACAAAGTTGAAAAGAAGTCACTGACTGAACAAACTACCTTCGTATTTTCTCAATTTTTATAATTTCTCTCTCTCTCTCTCTCTCTTTGGAGAAGAGTCTCTTTCTCTCTCAAGCAGTATCATTCTTTCGCGACAATGCAATTCCGTAGCACGAGAAGGAAGAGACAACGAGAGAAGGCGCGCGCACACCTGCCGAGAAAGAACCGCGTAAAAGCGCGGTGCCCGTGACGATCGCTTTAAAAGCGGCAGCCCGAGAGCAGACGATGAAAAAACTGACGGAGAGCGAAGGCAAGGGCGCTCTCTGGACCAGTACATACCTTATACACGGGGTTCAGGGCCCCTCGTCGCTTGCCAGTCATCGGTCTTTCCGACTGTAAAGCCGCTGTCGAGACTGGGTTTTGCAATAGATCCGCGGCTATCAGAACGATGACAACGTGAAACCGAAAAGTCATCATTTCAGTACGTTTAATTGGCGTACCGACCGTACTTTCACCACGAAACAAACCTCTATATTTCGGCTACGTAATAGATACTTATATATGAAAGAAATTGCGGTGAATCATCTGGCGAATCATCTCGCTTATATATATCTTTTTAAACGAGACTACGTAGAATGCAATTATTTCTTCTCGTATGTACTTCTTATTAATGTATAATTCGACTTAGGGATATAATCGCGAGTCATCGTTCGGCTGCTGCCAGGACGTGGCCATCCAGGGTACACATCGTCAAAGAATTTTAAGTAACACACGTACACTGTTGTACACGTCGTGCAAGACGCTCGGCAAACACGCTCGTAATTTACTCCAATTTCCCTTGAAACGGCTATAAAAGTTACGTCGGTATGTCCGGTCGTGGTATGATACTGATCGCGATGCACCGTGCGCGATGTACGAGGTATATATATTTTAATTACGAATACTACGTGTTTGATGTTTAGAAACAAAGGTTTTAATTTCAATTAACAATATTGAAGAAATTAATACTCAACATTCGATGTTCGTTTACGGAGTCTAACAAGCAACAAAATCTCCAGTGAATTTCATATTAACTTTAATGAGATTTTAACTCGAGGCGTTTGCTTACTTATTAATATCAAATTTTTACACAAACAAGAAAAATAGCTCTCGAAATAATTACAAGAAATCATTAAATTGTAAAATATTCCTCAAGTGCATGTAAATATAAAATGCACCTTGTATATATAAATTATTAAATGTATTGGCTGCATTTTCAGCAGAAAAAGCAGCTTTACGACAGTTGTAAAATTCTTTGAAATGATCAGTATTGCTTTTAGTTCTTTACTAGATCTAAATGCATAAACCTATCATATTAAAGAATTTTATAATAATTGCAAAGCTGCAAAGCTTTTTCTGCTGAACGTAGCCAATGCATTTAGTAATAATTATCAAATCGTGAAATTGAGTCAGTCGTTCTGATTCTGAGGCTGACCGGTTGTACCCGCGCACCATCGGTAACATGAGAGGACCACGTGCAGCATGTCGATCTCTTGGTTCTTACAATCCGACCGCGGATGTCGACGTGCCTTCGTCGAACATCTGCGTCCACGACGGGGCCCAAAAACGGAAATGAAGAATCAGGACGAAGCGGCGATGCGTAAACGGCGACGAACTATAGTTGGGATTCCGTTAGCACGATAAAATAATCAGGCGAATTGCAATTTATCGATTATTTTACGGTCACGGCAATGATAGGATTAGGTAACTTTAGACTTAGGTAACTGTTTTTTATTTTTTTAGTTTGCACTAAAAACTCTTCCAAAAGTGTATACCTTTTCAGTCATACAATACAAAACTGCTATAGAAATACTTTTGTATCGGTATGACCATAAAAAGATAAAACTCCGGATACCTGGTTTAATTGTTCACTTTGGAAGTCTAAACCAAAAACATGAAGACATCCGTATCTAAATGGTGTATCTAACATGTCAATAAAAATGAAAGAAAGGAAGCTTTCTTCTTAACAACATTACACCGTAGAATAGAAAGAGACAGAGACTGAACTCTAAGCGCTTCATCTTTCTTTCATTTTTGTTGATCAATTGTACAGGATTGCACAGTCCATGTTTTATATCTATATTCT